CAGGCTGAGGCGGAAGGATCGCTGGAGCCCAGCAGGTTGAGGCTGCGGTGGCCGGGAGAGGCCACTGCACTCCAGTCTGGGCGACAGAGTGAGACTCCAACTCAAAAATAAATAAATAAATAAAAATGCACCGCATATCGTGGCAGCCTTCTGCTCACATTTTTCAAGGGCTTGTCATCTCAAGTTGAGCAACATCCGGCATCCTCACGTGGCCCGCCAGGGTCTACCTGTCTGCCTCACCCCCGGCACCCTCCCTCCTCACTTGCTTCAGCAGTTCTCTTGCTTGGCCTCCGATCTGCCAAGCACGCTCCTGCCACCCAAACTCTGCATTTGCTCCTTTTGCCAGCAGGCCTGTTCCTCGAGGTAGCCACATGGCTGGCCTCTGCGTCCTTCAAGTCTCACCTCCACAGAGAGGCCTTCCCTGACCTTCACAGCTTGTTCTACCGCTGGATGTGACATGTGTATGGGCATGTGTGTGTTCTGTCTTGTCTTCTCCTGCAAGAATGTTAGCTCATTCTGGCAGAGACTTTACTGTTGAATCTTCCAGCGCCCAGACTGCTAACCAGGAATATGTTTAAGTGCTCAAAAATGCTAAATGAATGGATGGATGACAGTCTCCACCCAGAGGCTACCTGACGATCTAAACTCCAGTCTCAAATCCTCAGTTTGTCTCTTTGATACAGAGTACCACCGTTCAAGGCTCTGGAAAGTCATACCTAGCATATCTACTGCCAATTGATGGCCGCATGAGGTATGTCATCAGCATTTTTTTAAGAGATAGGGTTTCACTCTGTCACCCCACTGGAGTGTCATGGCACCATCATAGCTCACTGTAGCCTTGAACTCCTGGGCTCAAGTGATCCTCTCACCTCAGCCTCCCAAGTAAATGGGGCTACAGACATGTGGCATCACTTCTGGCTAAGGTTTTTATTTTTTTGTAGAGATGGGGGTTTTGCTATGTGACCCAGCTGGTCTCGAACTCCCCGTCTCAAGTGATTCTCTGACCTCGGCCTCGCAAACACTGGGATGACAGGCATAAGCCACTGTACCCAGTCCCTCTGTGTATTCGAAAGTATCTCATTTTGTTCTGCTTCAACCAGCAAATTGGCTGGTGGACTGTTGGATTGCCACAAAGCATCTCTGGCCCCCACCCGGGGAACTCCCTGGGCCTGCTTTAACCTCCAATACCACAGAGTCTGGCCAGAGCCTGAACTACCAGGTATACATGAGAAGCCTCCAGGAGAGTCTTGGGGCAGGTCTCAGTAAAGACCAGACGGGAAAAATCCTGACCAGCACCAGGCCCCAGGAGATCTTCCAAGTAAACAGCACTTTCTGGCTCTCCTTCCGGACCACACATGCTACCCACTCCACTTCGCAAGTCCTTCCACTACTGGTACCATGAATGAGTGGTCTTCTCGGCTCATTCCTCCAACCATACAAATCCTTCACTGCACCCTGCTCTGGCTGAATCTCAGAGACCACTCTCCACTCCAAGTTCAAGAGTTTGACTCTGATACCTTAAAAGGATTAAGAGTTGACACAGGAGTGCTTGCTTAAAACTAAAAATGGAGTAGGTTTAGTTAAAAAGGCTAGAGAGCAATCATTACAGTCTGCCCAGCTTAGTCATGCTTAAAGCAGCAGCTTGTTTCAGCCCTTCTCTAATGATTAGCTCACAGAGCCAGTTGTTTGAGTAAAATTGATAATGGCTTGTAACCCCTTGGCTATTTCTTTGTGCTGACTATTCCTTTCTCTTTCTTTTTTTTTTTTTTT